TTGCAGTTTTCAAGTCAAAGTGTTTCGGAAGTGGTTCGCCAGTGCCTCCTTCCTAGAGCAGAGCCCAGCTGGTGAGCGCAGGAGGCGGGGTTTCTGTTGCTTCGCGGCCTTTTCGGGCGCGCACGGTTTTTCACGCTTACCGGCAACTGCTCCTGACTCCTTTTTTTGCAAGGTGCCGCCAGCATTTTTCCTCCCACCAGAGTGAGAGTACCCATTTATCTACTCACGTGAGTTTTCGAACTGTTGGGTTTACAGGAACTGGGGAGGAAACAGGAGCTCACCCTGCTAACGCGAAGGTGGGTTTACAGGAACTGGGGAGGAAACAGGAGCTCACCCTGCTAACGCGAAGGTGGGTTTACAGGAACTGGGGAGGAAACAGGAGCTCACCCTGCTAACGCGAAGGTGGGTTTACAGGAACTGGGGAGGAAACAGGAGCTCACCCTGCTAACGCGAAGGCTGGACTCGAACCGCTGAAGCGTCTACCATTTCTGGCCGGCAACTTTCAGCTGAATTGAAAGGAGGCCAGGTTTGCTCCTCATACTAACACATGGGTTTTAACCATGGTTTGTGGAATATAATTAATTAATTTTGCATAGCATGCTAAGCCATAAACTATGATTTACAAGCCATAATAGCTAGGTTCACATGCTAATCCAGCACCAAGTAAAGCACATTATAACTTAGTGAGATGTACATCTCAAGCTGTGGTACAAAACAAAGAAAATGAATGCATATTTATCATACTTGTCTTCCATCTAAAACATGAAGTACATTGTGAGCAAGTGTGAACTCATCTTTCCCATAGTTTATGAATCAGTCTAGCAATTTGCACAGTGGGTGGAAGGGGCACAAATGGAGCTCATGTTGATCTCAGTATTGTAGTGTCACAATGTCATGACCCAAGTCCTGCTCCTTTTCTCATGTATTGCAATGATGTGTGCATATCCAAATGGGTCAGAATTTGCAGTGCAATGTTAGTATTAATAATACCTTCCAGCTATCATCCCAAAAGATACAGGATTCTTTTTATTTATTTTTTTCAGTCAATACATAGGTTGTGTTTAGTGCTGTTATCCAATCTGCTGAAAGGTAAGGAGGAACTCACATTCTCCACTGTGTTTTGCTTAACTGTAGTTAGTTGACTGTCATAGTGGCTAGGTTCACTTATAATGCTAAGTCATAAATCATCAGCTGTAATGGATTCATTTACATATTATGCAAAAAATAAAACCATATTAGACATAATATAACATTAAACATGTGATAGTCGTACAGATGTAGTCCAGTTTAGTTCATAGCAGGAGCATCTACAAGGGGGTGTCAAGATGGCAATAGTAACTACTATCTTGACTTTTTTGACCTCCCTATGCACCCCACTGGTTCATAGAACTGTAGAGTTGAAAGGTACCAGAAAGATTATCTAGGCCAATACTTTTCAATTAAACTTACTCCCAGGTAAGGATATAGCTGCAACACAACACAACCAGAATCAGATGGCTTTGACCACATTTGAAACTTTGCAGCAATGCTAAAAGATAGTCCCTTCACCTTCACCTCCACACTTTGGCTTATAAAGTTCCCCAAATGAGGAGTTTTGCACATCCCTTTTTACAAGTTATCCCCAAGAAAAGGTTATAATTTGTCCCTTATGTTGTATTTATCAGTTTTTAGCAAAAATAGCTACACGCACAAATTGCTGTGTTCTTGGCTGTTGCTCAAGCAAGATGCAAGTTTTGGATGCAAAGGCAGTATTCAGTCCTAAATTATAGATTTTGCCATGAATTGTCTGCAAAAACATTATACTTGTTTCCAGTATCAGGAGGATTGATAAAATGAGTATCAATAAGTATGCCCTGAAAAAGGGAGAAATAAAAATGAATGTAGGAGGATTGATGCTGTTCAAAGTAAGTGTTCTGATTTCAATTGTTCAGGCTGGGATTGTGCTCCAGCACAGTTTTGCTCTGGGGATATACTTTGAAAAATAAAGCAACACCAGAAAATTTTGTGATTGTAGATATGCATGTTAAACTTCTGTAGAAATGCAAGGGACAGCAAAGTAGGAATGATACTTACCAAAAATAAGGTTTGAAATTAATTTCATGTTTTAGCCAATTTAAACCCTTGCTAGGATTGAGAATATGGTGTTGCATATAATAAAAACCAGGTTAACAAAATAGATCCAGAATAACCTAAATAATGAATGGTTTTAGATTCAGTTCAAGGGCATATAGGATTTTATATAGGATTATATAAGATAGGATTATATAGGATTTTATGGAAGACTGGGTGATGGTAACACATAGTATCGTTAATGGTCCATGAAATTTATTTATTTATTTAATTTATTTATTTATTTGGCACATTTATATAGTTGCCCATCTCACACAAAGTGACTCTGGGATTTTGTGAGATTACCATGGTTCAGTGAGTAATGGAGTAAGTGGTCAAAGTGTAGAAGACAAATTCTTACATATAAACTCCATTGAATATGGTGTACGTCTTGGTCTTAGAAGTAAGATTTTGGGTTTGGGGAAATCCTTGGTTTGGAGAGTTTAAGGAGATGGGGAGGAATTTTTGGCGTACTTGGGAAATCCTGGTTTTGGGGAAAAGGTTTGCTTTCTATATTTCCTGAGGATTCAGAACGTGGTTACCAACAAGCTTAACCTGAAAAGAAATTGTAAACATCATGTACATACTTGATAATTTATAATTTAATGTTTTATGCAGGAAAATATCTGCAGTTAATATATTTTGTTTTAACAGTGCCTCAGGAATGTTATGGGGGGCAGCTGTATCCCACAGTCCTGCTGGAAAAAGTGACTTATGACCGGTCCTTGCACTTATGACTGTCACAGCATCCCTGCAGTCACATGATTGTGATTCAGGAGCTTGGTAACCATCACTCATTATGATGGTCGCAGTGTCCTGTGGTCACATGATTGCCTTTGCACCTGGCTTCCAACAAGCAAAGTCAATGGGGAAGCCCAGCAGGAGGTCACAGTCAAATGATGTCTTGCTTAATGACCGTGGGTGATTCACTTAACAACCCCTTCGCGTAGTGTCAGAATTGCCAGTCCCAATAAGGGTTGTTAAGTGAGGACTACCTGTAATTGGAAAGTTGAACCAGTAGAACAAGTGGCAGCTAGACTGCATTCTCTTTTTCCTGAAACAGGTTATTAAAATTATTTATCACTGGCTTTTGTGTTAGGAACTGCCCTTTTTGTTTAATGTAGCAGCTATATAGAAGGTATCTTTGCAGCAGGAAGTAAGCTTGTGGAACAGCAGAACCTAAGGTGACAAAGTTTAGTGACAGAGCAGAAGGTTCCCATGCAGCAAATACTAAGACAGTCTCTGACATCTCCAGTTTAAAAAAAGAATTGGGTAGCAGGTGATGGAAGAGATCTGTGCCTGAGGCTCTAGAGAGCTACTGCTGGACAAAATCAACAATATTGGGTCAGATAAATAATTTGATTTATTATAAAAACATCTTTCAATGCCTGTTACAATGATCAGAGATTAGTGTTTTAGTCCAGTTCTGGACAAATTTAACATTTTCCAGCTGCTTGAGCTATAACTTCCATAATCAGTACTGAAGAAAGCACAATTGATTTTTGCAACTGAATGGAAAAGAACGCCACCTTGTTCTTCATCTCAGATAGCCAAATCCTTAGGGCTGAGGCTACTCTATTATTTGTTCTGGGGAATTCTAATATTTACATATGCTTAAAAGCTAGAGCACAGATTGTCAGACCTATTCACTTTAATGTCGTCTGACTGCAGCCCAACAACTATTTAAAACAGACTGGAGATAAGTGATTATGGAAGTCTGTTCAATGGCAGACAAACTTCTGTATTCCATCT